TAACCTGCTAGTCCTCCTGCCTCCCTTGCCTCCCTCCTGCCTCCCCTGTCTCCCCTGTCTCCCCCGCCTTCCTCCTGCCTCCCCTGTCTCCCCTGCCTCCCCTGCCTTCCCTTATCTCCCCCTGCCTCCCCTGGCTCCCTCCTGCCTCCCCTGCCTTCCCTTATCTCCCCCTGCCTCCCCCCACCTTCCGTCTCCCAATTATTTTGAGAATCAGTGTAAGTTTCAGGTTCCCTTCTTTATTCTGTGTGTTTATTGGTTATTTAATCCCCCTCCTCTTCCTACTCCTCTTCCTTTTGATGCTGGGATGAAACCCAGGGCCACATGCCTGCCAGAGAAAAGACCTTGCACTGAGTCACACCCCAAACCTGACATTCCTCACTGTGATCCCTACAGAATCCCCCATTGTGGCCTTTGGTAATTTCTTCAAACTTGTCCCTTGGCTTTTTGTTGGATCCTCATCATTCTTTGAGGATTTGATTGATGCAAAAGGACTTTTCCGGGGTCAGTGAGGAAAGGGGCTTGCTGCCAAATCCAACAACCTGAGTTCCACCTGCTCATTGGAAGGAGAGAGTCAACACCTACAACTTGTCTTCTGACCCCCATACAAAATGCTCTGTTCTCCCCGCCACACAAATACATTAAATAAAACAATTTTAAAGTATTTTCCAAGCTTATCTCTTGCTTTCCAGACTTCAGCTTCTCCAAGGAGATTGGCATACAGAAGCCAAGAGCTTGATGGCAAGTGCCACACCCATTTTAAAGTTAGAAAGGGCAAAATTTATATCATTTGCATTTGGGTTTCAGAGGAAAGGAAGCCCTATTTTCTTTAGTGTTCCAAAGATAAATCCAAAGCATCTTGCTTTTCTGAGGTTGGGAATAGCAACACATGCCTATGACCCCAGAACTCAGGACTAGAGCAGGGCCATTTCAAGTTTGAGGGTAGTTTTGTCTACTCAGTAGGGCCCATCTCAAAAGTACTTTGCTTTATGAAATCTTCCTCAACACTCTAAAGCTGACTTTAGCCCCGGTTTTAATAGGTATTATATGATTTATTCAGATCCCAGCAATCCCTACTCAGCACAGTTCAGGTCCTTGCCCCTGTCTCCAGCCTTTAGTAAACCCAGGCTTGAATTTCATCTCCAGCATCTACTGGTTAAGGGAGCCTGGGAAAATCTCTTGGCTATTTTGTTTCTTGTCTTATCCACCTGCAAAATCAAAGGTATATCCCAGGGCTATTCCAGGAAGTAAATGCCACGTGGATGAAACATGTGTGCCATTGAGTCTGGTCTGCCCCAAAGGCCCTGGTAGCTCGTTAGCTTCTTTTCGGCATGCCTGTTCACCACAGATTGCTGCAGGGAGGAGCAGAGAACCATCTGCACTGGGCCAGGCTGGTTTTGAGTGTGGCCCACATCTCTACAACCCGTTTCCTCAGTGTCGCCCTATGTGAGCCCATGGCTGCTGATCTCCGCAGCTCTCCCGGAGCTGTCTCAGGTCCTGTCTGTTGAGTGGTGGAGCCTGGGTTCACCCTTTCCCTCTCTGTTATTTCTGGAGTCTAGGGTCACTGATGTTCAGCTCACATTGGGAAGGTACAACTTTTGTTTAACTCCATCCACAGCAGTTTGGTTGAAATGACCATTTCCCAAACACAGCTTTATGCCTCAGTGACTTTTTTCTCTCAATTTGGGAACCATTGTTGACTTTGAACATTTTTTTCTGTATGCTATACTTTTTGTTCAAGAATATTTTATTTTGTTTTATACATATGATTGTTTTGCCTGCAGGTATGCATATGTACTATGTGCATGCCTGGTACCAGAGGTCAGAAGAGGGGTCACATCCTATAGAACTGGAGTTACAGATGGCTGTGAGCCACCATGTGAGTGCAGGAAATGGAACTCAGGACCTCTGGAAGAGCAGCCAGTGCTCTTAGTCCCTGAGCCGTCTCTCCAGCCCTGAACTTTTATCCCTTTATTAGAATAATAAACAAATGCAGAAGACGTATGTGTGTGTGTGTGTGTGTGTGTGTGTGTGTACACAACTGGTAGAGGTTGGCAAAGGGCAGGGAGGTGGTGGCGCACACCTTTAGTCCCACCACTGGGGAGGCAGAGGCAGGCAGATCTCTGTGAGTTTGGGCTAACCTGGTCTGCAATTGAATTCCAGGACAGCCAGGGCCACACAGAGAAATCCTGTCTCAACCACACCCCACTCTAGCCCCCCCAAAAAAGAAAGAAAGAAAAGGGCAGGCACCCGCCATGTGAGTGCAGGGAGCTAGGCTGGGGTCCTCTGCAAGGGCAGCAAATGCTCTTAACCACTCAGCCATCTCAAGTCCTGCATTCTACAGTTTTAAAATGGTTTCCCATCTCTAACAGTTGCTAACTGTAGAGAGAGGTCTCAGGTATCTGCAGCACTAACCACGCCCATTTGGGCGTGGTCTCAGGTACGTGGGAGAAACCAGGAATAAAAGAGGGCACAGTAGGGGCCCCTGCTCTCTTGGATTCTGGTCGAGGTTCGGAGACTATAGAGCACTGACCCCAGCTCTCAGCTTCTCATGTAAGTTACTTCTCCCTATCTGAATAAATATCCTACTACCTTTTCCCAGCATCCTTGGTGTGACTCGTTTCCGTTATCGGTTAGCTTTTCTCATTTGATTGCTTTTTTGTTTGCAGCGGCAAAATTAGCACACACCAAACAGTGGGGTGCTTCCCCTGTCTCCATTCCCCCCCTCCACTCCCTTTACTCCCTCCCTCCTTTCCTACCCCCCCATCACTTTCCTTCTTGTTTGCTCTCTCTGTGACCCCCAGCTCCTGCTACCTCCCTCTCCCTTTATTCTTTCTGAGACAGGATCTTATGTACCAGACAGTCTCACTTAGAAGTTACTATGCAGTCAAGAGTGACTTGAACTCTTTTTTTTTTTGGTTTTTCGAGACAGGGTTTCTCTGTATTGTTTTGGAGGCTGTCGGTCCAGCCTGGCCTCGAACTCACAGAGATCCACCTGCCTCTGCCTCCCGAGTGCTGGGATTAAAGGCGTGCGCCACCACCGCCCGGCGTGACTTGAACTCTTGATTCTCCGGCCTCTCCCAACAAGTGGGAGGATTATAGGTGTAGTCCACCATCGCTGGGTCTTTCTTTCTAAAACAATGCATGACTGGAGAGGTGTCCCAGTGCTTAAGTACGATGGCTGCTCCAGACCCAGGTTTAATCCCCAGAAGCCACCTAGATTCACAGGCGTCTGTAGTCCATGCAGATGACTGCCCGCTGTTCTGTGAGCACAGCACTCCTGCTTCTGACCTGGAGTCTCATGTCACCTTAACTCAGCAGTGAGTAGCTACAGTAGGATCCATACTCTACCATGGACCCATTTCAATCTTTTTGTTGCTATAGAACTTGGGTTTATTAAATTATAGATTTTAAAAATTATTTTCTACTTTTGAGATTTTAAATGTATATATGTAAGCTCTATGGTTAAGAGAAAGAAAGGGCCAGGCGGTGGTGGCGCACGCCTTTAATCCCAGCACTCGGGAGGCAGAGGCAGGAGGATCTCTGTGAGTTCGAGGCCAGGCTGGGCCGATAGCCTCCAAAACAATACAGAGAAACCCTGTCTTGTAAAAAAGTAAAAAATAAAAAGAGAGAGAGAGAAAGAAAGGTATTCAGAAAGAAAGACATGCCCGAGAGGGTGGTATGGACTCTTCAAAGGGGAGCCACCCCATTTTATTTTATTTCTTTATTGTGTGCAGAACTGTTTTGACAATATAAAAATCAGTTATGAGTTTTTGTTTGTTTCTTGTGGTTTTTCGAGACAGGGTTTCTCTGTGTAGCCCTGGCTGTCCTGGAACTCACTCTGTAGACCAGGCTGGCCTGGAACTCACAGAGATCCGCCTGCCTCTGCCTCCCGAGTGCTGGGATTAAAGGTGTGCTCCACCATGCCCAGTCAGTTTTCAGAAGGCAAGGCCAGGTTCCCAAACAGACAAGTACCAAAAGGATCCACTTCCTAAGTAGAGTCAGACAACAGAAATCATTAAAAAAAAAATGCAAAGAGCCCCTTATTCAAGGCTGGGGTATGTGGCTCAGAGAATGTGTGAGGAACCAGGGCCCTGCGATTGATCTTTCAGCATTCCAGAAATGATCCCAAACACTCAGTTTGAATTCAGTTAAAGACTTTTGACTAATTTCTTAGTAGAGGTATTTCTAGAAGTTTTCTTTTCTTTTCTTTCTTTTTTTTTTTTCCGAGACAGGGTTTCTCTGTATTTTGGAGGCTGTCCTGGAACTCACTTTGTAGACCATGCCTCTGCCTCCCGAGTGCTGGGATTAAAGGCGTGCGCCACCAACGCCCGGCTTGAAGTTTTCTTTTTTTAAGTAAGTAAATCTGAATTCATTTTCATCTGTGTGGATGAGAGACTGTCTGTGCCCATGTGTGCTGTTGCCCTGGAGACCAGTAGGCGGCTTCGGACTCTCGGGATTTCAGGTGGCTGTGAACCACCATGCCGGTGCTTGGAACTAGCCTGCTCTTTTGGAAGGGCAGCCCATGCTCCGAACCTCTCAGCCATCTCTCCAGCCCGCATGGTTTTCTAAGACCATAGCATAAACTGGTTATATTAGCCTCAGCTGGGGGCGGGAACTCAGCTCCTTGTGACTCTGGCAGGCTGAAAAAAACCTTTCAGGGCCATAAACAGAGTCAGGGGGCTTTCCCTGGCCCTGGCTCTTAGCAGGAAATGCACCGCCTCAGGTCCTGTCCAAACGGCATGCAGGACAACCAGAAACGATTCTCCCTCCATACCCTCCTCTCTGTTCCTAGACCTTAGCACAACTTCTCATCTCCCAGCTGTGCCTGTTTGGCATTCTATACCCAGTGGAAATCTAAAAATTCCCATTCTAGACCAGGGTATCCCTTCAGCCTCCACTGAGTGCCTGGGTCCCCCAGGCAATTATGGGTGTAGGATTGGGTGGGGCAGGATGCAGGGTGGGGTGGGTGGAGCCAAGACCCACTTCCTTTCCCCCTGGGGCTCGGTTTGCCCCAGTCCTGACCAAGCCTCGGGAGGAGCTGGAGGTGCTCACCCTGGCCCTGTGCCGTATCCATTAAGCTGGTAAGAGTAGGTATAATAGAGGTGGGGTGGGGGCTGGAGGATGATGGGATGCAGCTATAGTTTGGAAAGATGAGTAGGTGATGGGCAAAGGGGGCCAAGAGCCATTGGCTGGGACAGAATGAGTGAAGGCCAGGAGGACGCGGCTGCTGCCAAGGCCAGGGTGGGGAGTCACTGCCACCATCTGTTCCTGTGCTGCTTCTGATATAGTAAAAGCAAGAATGGAAAAAAAAAACCGTTAAACCACAAGTTGGGCTTAGCAGTTGGCAGGGAAGTGGCAGAAGGAGGGGGGCTGGCCAGGTTTTCCTCCCCAACCCCTGTGTGCTCTGTAACTTCCCCACATTCAGGTCCCAGCCCCTGTCTGGAGATGGCCCTGCTTCTCCTCCTCCTCGGGGGCTTCTGGATCCAGGTGATGAGCAGCAGCCCAGATCTGCAGAACATAACGGTGGTGACACCTACCGCCCCACATAGCAAGGTCCCAGGCACTTCCGAGACCTTGAGAGTCAACCAGGCAACCTCTACTAGGCCAGACACAGTGGACCTCATGGAGGCTACCAGCAGCTGGAGTCAGAGACTATCCCTACCCTTCCAAACCACCTTTGGAACTGCTGAATTGTCTTCTCTTGGGACTCCCGCTGGTGCTAGCGTGAGCACCCCTGTACCTGAGCCTACAAACTCCCAGGAAGTTTCCAGCAAGGTATCAGTGAAGCTTCCAGAACCATCAGATGTTTTCAGTGACCCTCCTGCCACCACAGCCAATCCCATGACAGACAAAACTGGGACATCTGCCTCTCTAGAAACCTTTAAAGGGGCAAGTACACCCCCCGTTGCCATGACAACCAGCTCCAATGAGACCAGTGGACCTTCCGTGGCTACAAGAATAAGCTCCAAGACCAGTGGTCCCCCTGTCACCATGACTACTGGGTCTCTGGGTCTCTCCAGTGAGACTCATGGACTCCCTGCCACCATAGCAACCAGTTTTGTGGAAAGTTCTAGTGTAACGGGTGGCACCCCAGTCTCCGGCATAAAAATATCCATGATGTCTACCCCGGAGCCCATAACCACCAGAGCGCCACGCCAGGGATCAAGTGGCATGTTGTTAGTGCCCATGCTTGTGACCCTGCTAGTAGTTTTGGCCCTCGTGGCACTCTTGCTGCTGTGGCGCCGGCGACAGAAGCGGCGGACTGGGGCCCTGACCCTAAGCAGGGACGGAAAGCGCAATGGGGTAGTGGATGCCTGGGCTGGTCCCGCCCGGGTTCCTGATGAAGAGACAGCAATAGCGTCAGGGCCAGGGGGCAACAAGGGCTCTGAGACCCTGGAGACGGAGGGGTCGGGCCAGCGGCCCACGCTCACCACTTTCTTCAGCAGACGGAATTCCCACCAGGGCTCTTTAGTCCTGGAAGAGCTGAAGTCTGGGCCAGGTCCCAACCTAAAGGGGGAAGAAGAGCCGCTGGTGGGCAGTGAGGATGAGGCTGTGGAAACCCCCACTTCCGATGGGCTAGAAGCTAAAGATGGGGCTACACCTCAAAGCGTATGAGCAACAGGAGGTCTTCAACCGACCTGCTCCTTAACCCCGGATCCTGCTCGAGCATCCTCACACTTGTGAATATTTGTGAACCAAGTGCACTCATTCATCCATCCATCCATTTATTCCCTGCCCCCTCCTTCCTCCGTGCTCCCTTTGGAACCAGTCGCCGAATCTCCATGAGAATTATCTTAATTGACCCACCATTTCTCCAAGGATCCGCCTTGGGCGTCTGCGGTCTGATGAGAAGAATGAAGTAATAAACCAGCAAACTTCCGACGATGAAACTTTGTGACGTACATGCAACCCCCATAGGGTACCTTCAGGACTTCCGTTGCTCAGGGGCCAGCTTAGAGACTAGATGGGGCCATCTGACATGCTTCTGGGTGACCTGTGACCTGTGACTTTCCCCCAGAGCACTCTGGCTGGTAGCTGCTGGTGGAGGCTGCCAGAGATCGGCCGCTTCTCCTTGGGACAGAGATGAGAGTTTCTGGTTCCAAGAGGCCCCGGCACCTGCTGTGTCCACTCCGAGGTGTGGATTGTGTGTGAGGTGTGACCCTTAGGTGGTGGTTGTGAGCAGCACTGGTGACTGCAGGGTGGGGAAGAGCAGGGCAGGGGCTGGCAAAGCGTTCCTCCAAAGTGAGGGACACAGGGACTCCTGGGAACACAGGACCTTCATCTTGCTCAGACAGGGTAGGAACAGCTAAGAGCCTTAAGCCGTGTGCAGCCTCCAAGAGAATGCAAACTGGATGGGGGCTAAGCTGTTATACCCTCCTTTCAAAGGTGCCCTCCCACCAACACCCACCCACCCTGCGCACACGCAAGAAGAGGAGAGGCGGCCACCCACGTGGGGACTGCGTGCTGCCGAACCCTCTGGCCTTGAGGCCTTTCCCCTACAGGCTTGGTTTGTCTGCTTCCTCTCCCATTCCAAGGCTGAGGTCCTTCCCTTTTCTAAGTGAGAGGGAGTTAGATGGGAAGACAGACCCAGGGGTGGGACATGGGTCCAGGGACTCCCTGAGGGTCTGAGGTAGAGAGGGGACAGGCCCCAATCCTGCTGCTTCTGATCCATCAGCCTCTGATACTGGCCCAGTGGCAACCCAAGTGGACAAGTGGTCCACAGGTGGTGGCTGGAGGAGATTTGCAAGAGGAAGTTGTTGAGTCAGAAGGCACAGTCCTTGAGAACAGACTGACCTACAAAAAGAGATGTGTGAGTGTGGTTGTGCATGGCCTGGATGGGGGAGGGAAAGGGGGAATGGAGCCCAGGCGGCTCACCTGTTGTATGTGGGAAGAGGGGAGACAAGGAGGGGAAAGGGGCACGGATCAGCTGCCACCACCTCAAGCTGTCACTGCCGCCTCCTTTAGTCTGTGGGGAAGAGGAAAGGCTGAGATGGACACCCATGGGCCGCATTGAACCGTTTCTACTGCACACCAGGTGCTGTGTGGACCGAGTGTGGCAGGGACGGTAGGTTTTCCAAGCCGAGTGCCCCAATTTCAGGGCTAGAGGGTAATGCCACCAAACTGAGAGGTCGAGCGCTCTGACTCCTTCATGTTCCACAGCCATTTCCTGGGCTGTTTCTGGTTTTCGGGTGCAGGGGGGGTTAGAGGAAATGAGTAGTGATGGGGGTGGTACACAACAGGACTTCGGTCCAGACAGGGGCAGAATGTTCCGAGTGCTAAACTGAGTGACAGGTGAAAATGTCACAAGGGCACCAAAAAAAAGGAAGTGTCAAACTGCTTCTAAAGGAAGGCAAGGAGGCTTCATGGTTGCCCCGGGGTCCCAGCTGCGCTGCATGTCCTATCAGCTCCTGGGCCTGGCAGAAGCGGGTGTTCAGTGCACATTCATGTGAGTGGATGGATGACTGAATGAGTGCGTGGAGGGAGGGAGGGATGAAGAAATGAGGCTTTGGAAGCTAAGAATGGCAAAGGTACTTTTAGCACGAGGACTAGAGGGTTGCAAAAGTATGTAAGGGAGCAGGGAGCGTGGTGGGACAGGATAGATGGATGTCCTTCAGCTCAGTAGAGGAAAACCAGTAGCAAGCAATATATAAACCCAAAAAGAGAAAAAAATAAAGTAGGTAAACAGAAACAGAGACGTAAGACGTGACAGCAGTTTCAACTCGATCAGTCATGAAATGATTGCAAATGGCTTGTGTTTGTGACATCCTTGCCACGTTTTCAGCAACTGTGATAACCTCAGAAATGATCTCAGCTGACATGGAGAAGGAAAAGGATGTTATTAATCTGTAAATACATTTATAATAAAAGCTACATCTCAAATGTGTAGTGTGGGGAATTTAAGTGTGATTTTCAACTTTGCTTTTCTGTGGTTTTCAAGTTTTACGCAATAAATGTGTTTACTTTTACATGTATGAAAAACGTTGCTGAGGGACTGGGAAATGGCTCAGTGGTTAGAGCACTGGTTACTCTTCCAGGGGATTCGAGTTCTGTTCCCAGCCCTTAAGATGGTAGCTGACAACTGTCTGTAACTCTGGCTCCAGGAGATCCAATGCCCTCTTCTGATCTCCAAGGGCACGAGGCATGCATGTGGCTCAGGCACACAGACACACATGCAGGCAAAACACGCATACACAGGAAAACAAGCAAATCTTTAAAAGTGTGTTGACAAAACACATGTTTCTTGGATAGCTGTTGGGGGGTGTGGTTGGAAGAGAGCTGTGGAAAAGGTCAGGGTCTCGGAAAGCTTGAGTTGGCTTCTGCGAGTGTTGAGAAGGAGGAGGGGGTGTCCCCTCTGTCCCATGGCCTCTACAGATAGTGAGCGCCATTCTTTCTGCAGCTGCCTGGCAACAGGTCTTACAGCCATCCTCAACCCTCTCCCCTGTGCTGGCTTTCCCAGGCCTAGGTCCAGTTGCCTCTTCTACTGGTCCCTCCTCCCCTCGGGTCCCTGCTTTCTCTGCAGGTCCCAGCACCATGTTCAGCTATTATTTTCACTTTTTAGAGGAGGTAAGGCTTATTTGGAGTTACTGTTTTTGCTTTGTTGTGAGACTGTCACAGTCTTACCATGTAGCCCAGGTCTCTTGGAACTCACCCTCCTCAGCCATGCCTGGCTAAAATTTTATTTTATTTTGAATTGGCATGCAATAATTATTCAGTTCTAAGGGGGTACATATATAACACACACACATGCACACATATATATCTCAGAATATGCACAATGCCTAGTAATCAAGTCAGGGTAATTAACATGCTCATCAACTCAGACATTTCTTTATAGTAAAACATCCAAAATCCTTTCTTCTAGCCATTTTGAAACATAAACCATGAGTCAGCCCTGTTGGCAAAAACCTGTAGCTCCTAGGACTTGAGAAACAGTACAGAAGAATTGGGGTTTAGGGTCATCCTGGGTTGCATAGCAAGTTTGAGGCCATCCTGAGCCACATGAGAATCTGTCTCAAGAAACAATGACCCACAGTCATGCTTATTGGCATGGTAGGACCTCCTCCTCCTGGTCACAGCTCTGTACCCCGAGCATCCAATCCTCTTTCCAGCCTCTGAGAAATTCTACTCGACTCAATAAGACTTATCTTTAGATTCCACATATAACTGAGGCTGTGTGTGCGCACACAAACACACAGTACTGACAGAGTGTCTATTTAGTTGGCCAAACTCTTGATCCTCCTGCCTCAGCCTTCCAAGTTCTAGGATCACATGTTGCTTAGTCACTGCTCTATTGTTGTGAAGAGACATGGAGACAAAGGCAGTTTATAAAAGACAGTAATTACCTGGGGGTTCATCATTTACAGTTTCAGAAGGTGAGTGCATGATCATCAGGGTAGGAAGCTTGGCAGCAGGCATGGTGGTGTAGCAGTAGCTGAGAATTTACATCTTGAGACACAACCATGAAGCAGAGAGAGAGAGATGGACAGAGAGTGTGACACAGAGAGAGAGAGAGAGAGAGAGAGAGAGAGAGAGAGAGAGAGATAACTGGGAGTGGTATGGGCTTTAGAAACCTCAAACCCACCCCCAGTAACACACCTCCTCCAAAAAGGCCACACCTCCTAATCCTCTCCCCAAAAGCTCTACCTACTGGAGACCAAGCATCCAACTCTGTGAGCCTGTGGGGCTCCTCTCACTCATTCAAACCACCACAGCCTGGGGGGCTCCTCTCACTCAACCACCACAGCCTGGGGGGCTCCTCTCACTCAACCACCACAGCCTGGGGGGTTCCTCTCACTCAACCACCACAGCCTAGGGGGCTCCTCTCACTCAACCACCACAGCCTGGGGGGCTCCTCTCACTCAACCACCACAGCCTGGGGGGCTCCTCTCACTCAACCACCACAGCCTAGGGGGCTCCTCTCACTCAAACCACCACACAGCTCTTACCACCACACCTAGCTTCAGGTCACACAGTATTTTTATGTGTCTACCTAATTTCACTCATGCAATGTGTGTGATTCCTACATTTTTGTTACCGATGACAAGATTTCACTTAATAAAATAGTACTCCAATTACTGAATGGTATGCTTGCATATATAACCACACATTTTATCTATTCTCCTATTGAGGGGTACTTGAAACTCAAATAGTTCAAAAGGTTAATAATCACAGGGATGGAGAGATGACTAATCCTTTAAGAGAACCAGCTGCTCTTCTAGAGGACCAGGACTCAATTCCCAGCACCCACATGACAGTTCACAACTGTCTGCAACTCCAGCTCCAGAGAACCTGACTCCTGCTTCTGGCCTCCACAGGCACCAGACACATACATGGTATACAGACATATATGCAGGCAAAGCACTCATATACATAAATAAATAATAATTCAGACAGAAACTGTATTAGACCAGAATAGATATTTCTCAAAAGAAGGCCTGCAAGTGGTCAAGAGGTCTGCAGGGAGAAGAAAGTTCACCCTGAGGGAAGTCATGCCACACTGAGATGGTGCTCACCCTAGTCAGAATGGACACTTCTAACAATTAGGGATGGGGCTAGGGAGATGGCTCAGCCTTTAAGAGTACTGTACACCTTCAATCTCAGCACTTGGGAGGCAGAGGCAGGTGATGAGTTCAAGGCCAGCCTGGTCTACAGTGAGTTCCAGCACAGCCAGGGCTACACAGAGAATCCCTGTGGAAAGAAAAGAAAGGGAGGAAGGAAGAGAGAAAGAAAAAGAAAGATGGAGGAATGCTAATCTGGATTTTCCATTGCTTAACAAATCATGTTCCCATAAATCAATTGCTATGTTAGCCACATATGGCTTTAATTTTTCTCTCTGTCCTTCTGACCCTATATACTCAATCCATCTTGAGCTTTGTTTTACCTGAGATAAAGTTCCAATTCCTGGAAGCTGAAAATTTACCTCCTGAAGAGGCCAATATTGATGCCAAGATTTTGGTGCAATTATTCTTACGTCTACTTCTGTGTCTACTAAGCCTTCCATTTCTATGCCATTTATTTGTATTTTTAACTTTGGTCTCTGATCATTTATAGAAATTCTCCAAAAATATTTGCTTTATGGTTTATCCTGAAAATTTTGTTTTATCTTCTCAAGCTGTTCTGTCATCCAGAGCAGTATGGTCACAACAGGCGTTAAGTCTTGTAATTGCTCTATGGAGGGTTTCTTCAATGCTGACTGGGAATGATTGAGCCAAATTTGACAGAGGGGCCTGGGAGAGGCCCCCTAAGGAATTTCCAAATGGCAAAAGTTTACCTTACCTGTCCCATGTTGATCTGCATTCATTAGTCCAATGTTGGCCTTTGACATACCTTCTGCGTATTACTGAAGAATATGGGGCCTTCTCTTTGGATTATCTCTAGAAAAGAAATTGTTCCTAGGAATGCCTTGCATACAATCCTTTTTAAATGATAAGTAAAACATCTAACCTTTTGATTTTTCTTAAAATTTTTAGAAATCATTTCTCCTATCTAAGTATCATATAAACGTGAGATCTAATATCAGCTGTATTTGTAATCCTTTCATATCTGGGTGCTGAACTTGCCTTTCAAGGACTGATCACCCTTTTGCATTCTGAATTAACATTTCAAAAGCCAAAGATTCAATTAATATTTGTCTAACTTTTTGATCTGATATTTTATTTACAGCTGAATTCAATCTTTGTAAAAAAAAATCAGTGAAGGCTTCTTTTGGGCCTTATATAATTTTAATAAATGGTTCAGTCCTCTTCCCTGATTCTTTAGTCTTGTCCCAAACATTCAAAGCTGCTGTATGACATAGGACCAAGATGTGATAATCAAATATAGACTGTCTTTGCAAATCAGCATATTGGCCTTCACCAAGGATTTGATCTTGGGAAATCTCATAACCTCTAACCTTACCAGGTTGTTTAGTGATTCTAATTTCATCTTTCCACCATGTTTTCAATTGTAACTGAGAACCAGCTTCCAATACTGCTATAATTAAATCTTTCCAGACTTGTGGAATAATTTTTTTTTTTTGTTTTTTCGAGACAGGGTTTCTCTGTATTGTTTTGGAGTCTGTCCTGGAACTCACTCTGTAGACCAGGCTGGCCTCGAACTCACAGAGATCCGCCTGCCTCTGCCTCCCGAGTGCTGGGATTAAAGGCGCGCGCCACCAACGCCCGGCGGGACTTGTGGAATAATTTTGTTCAAGTGGGCCATGAAATTAACATCTGCTTCACAAAAGGTGAATGCATACTACATGAAACTATTGCTTCCTTAAGTCTCTTCAAATTTAACATTTCTATAGGCTCACAGTTAATTTCTGAATAGCCTTGAGGGTACTATCATCTGGTGGTTTTTCTTGAATGGTAACTGGGTAAATTTTGTTTTGTTTTCTCGAGACAGGGTTTCTCTTATTGTTTTGGAGGCTGTCCAGGAACTCACTCTATAAACCAGGATGGCCTCAAACTCACAGAGATCCACCTGCCTCTGCCTGCCAAGTGCTGGGATTAAAGGCATGCGCCACCAATGCCCGGTGGTAACTGGTTAAATTAAAGTTGGTTTTCTAATTAAAGTTGGGCTGCTCCTCTTCAGTTTCATAATGCAATGGCTCAGTAGCTTCTGCTCTAAACTCCTCTGTGTGTGAATATTTTTCTTAGTTTCATGAATTTGTCTTTCTAAGGATTGTATCTTATCAGTCAATTTTTCATATTTGGCACTGCTACCAAACTACTTTTTTTTAGAGATAAAACATGAACTCCCAAACTGATAATAATTATAATTGACATTGTGTCAATCCTGGCTAAATTTACTATTTTTTCATTTTCAAACCACCCATTGTGGAACTCTACAGAGACCTAACTCCCTGCATTGCAACATTTCCCATTTTTAACATTTCTTTAAAATAATTCTCCCCCTTAAGAATTTTTAGGCGTCTCACCAGATCTGCTGACGATGACAGTGAAGTGTGGGGCTGGCTGCCGCTGAGTATCGTTGCTAGGCAGAGGACACAGGCAGTGCGCAGCCTGGCTGGAGGCAGCTGCAGGGCTTCCATGTGTCTGGGAGCTGAGACAGTTTGGCGGTGGCAGCAACAATAGATGCACAAGCTTCTGTTGTGTCGAGGCGGCTGACCTGCCGCAGCAGCAGCCTCAGGAAGGGGTCCAGGGGAAGCCCACACCTCACCGGGAGAAGGAGCCAGCCAGAAGTGGACACGGGAACATGCTGGAGAAGCTCATGCAGTGGGAAGTGAGGGCAGAGTCTGCCTGAAGGCAGAGCCAGCTCTGGTGGGCAGCTAACTTTAGCATTTGGAACCCAGGAGCCTGTGGAGTTCCGGGCCAAAGATGGGTGGCAGCTGGATACTGTTGTAGACAGTCTGCAATAGGAAAATCCCAGACTCCCTTAGAGGGCTTGGAAATCTATTCCACCCTGCCATGAGTTCAGAAGAGCCTCGATTTCTATTGTCTTTAAGATGTCAGCTAATAGCTGCAAGATGTCCTGGCCTCAGGGGAGAATGGCTCCTATCTAAATAGCAAGAGATTTGGGCCAGGGCGAGTTTGCACCCACCCTGAAGGCTGGGTGAGATGCACTGGTATGGAGTGCCTGAAGGCCTTGGTACCTGCAGCTAAGGAGTGTCTTTAGGATTAAGGGAAGTAATTGCTATCTGCCCTTTATACATGATAATAGATGTCTTCTGCTATTGTTCCCACCTTTGGATGGTTACTTAAGATGGTGAATCAATAAACTGGGCGCTTTCAGTATTAACTGACTGCCCTCCTGTTATGATCAGATGTCTCTTTTCTTTATTGCGGGATAACTAGACTTCCCTCATCCACATTCCCCCATTAAGGAATGGACCTGGGGCCATTCAGCTGGTTCTGATCTCAGCCCTGAAGACATCAGTCTGTGACAGAGAAAGAGCCAGCTGGTGGTGGCATCTCCAGGGGCTGCAAAGCCAGGGGTGAGTGGATATCTTGTGATTTTGTGCACCGACTTGGACGCCAGATGATGCATTTATCTAATTATTCTTTTTCAATTAAAAACTCAAGAATCAGATATAGGGGTAAGGACCTGATAGAGAAATGACCAGTGACCTCCTGTCTCTGTCATTCCTCCATCCAAAACGGGCCAAGACCCTCTCTAAGCCCCACCCTATTAGAAGCTAGCTCCACCTGCTGGTTCAAAATGAACTTTGTTGTTAGTCTCAGGAGTGTCAGAATGCAATCAAAATATTGCACTACAGAAAAAGGAAAGGCATTGGCTGCTCTTCCACAGGACCCAGGTTCATTCCCACCACCCACATGGTTGGTGGCTCACAACCATCCAGAACTCCAGTTCCAGAGGAATCCAGTGACCTCTTCTGGCCTCATCAGTCACTGCAAGCATGTGATGCACAGGCAGGCAGGCAAAATGCCCATACATATCTAAAAACGGACAAGAAGTGCTGCCAAGAGCGAGAAAGGCAGCAGACTGCTCACGGGTGAGAAAGCAGACGGAGGGAAGACAGAAGGAGGCTCCTCAAAAGTGCAGACAGCGCTGCCTGTGGCCCGGCAGCCTCGCTGTGGGTTTAGGTCCAGAGGAAACGAAACAGCGGTTCTGAAAGGACATTGGTGACACTCTTCATAACAGCCAAGGATCCTCCTGAAAGCCACTCTGTCTGTTAGTTCAATCCTTCAGACATAATTCTGGAAGGGAAGGTTCAGCCTTTAAAAACGTTTTTGGCTTTTGGTGTTTTGGGTTTTTGTTGTTGTTGTTTTTGTTTTTTGTTTTTGTTTGTTTGTTTGAGAAAGTATCTCACTATGTAGCCCTGACTGTTCTGTGACTTCCTATGTAAATCAGGCTGGCCTTGATTCCTGAGTTCTGGGACTAAAGACATATTCCACCACACCCCCCAAAAACGAGACTCAGTTTTTGCAGGTCGTCCTGTGACCTCCCTGTGTGCCAGGGCAGGTGTGCACCTTCCCAAAGCAATAGCGCGGTAAATGCGCCTAAAATGCTTACAGCTGGTGTTGCCTTGCCTCTGCTCACCCTCTATGGTCAGCCCGCACTTCCCAAGCTATCCAGTCTCGTCAAACTTTTGTTGCTCCTTGATTAAGCAATGTGGAAATGTTTATTTTGTCCAAACACTAAACAGATGTGCATTTTCCCCTTTTCTGAAAGCCATAGGCCCACAATTGTAATCTTGTATTTGAGAGGCAGAGGTAGGAAGAGCTCCATAAATCTGAAGTCAGCCTGGTTTACATAGCAAGTTCCAGGCCATCTAGGAATACATATAGAGACCTTGTCTCAACAAACAATACATTTTTAAAAAATGCTAATTGCAGCCTGGTAGTGGTGGCGCACGCCTTTAATCCCAGCACTGGGAGGCTGAGGCAGGCGGATCACTGTTTGGTGGAGGCCAGCCTGGTCTATGGAGCTAGTTCTAGGTTAGCCAGGGCTACACAGAGAAACCTTGTCTCAAAAAAAAAACACCCCCCCAAAAAACCTAATTGCCAGACTACTCTAAGGTCTTTGTTTCTGATTTTGTGGCACTAAGGGTCTTGAGCAAGCCGGGTTTTCCCCAACCCTTTGTTGTTTGGTTGGTTTGGCTTTTATATTTTCTTCCTCATTTACTTTATTTATTTGTATGTGTGTGTAAGTGGGCATATGAAAGCAGCTTTACCTGCTGAGCCATCTCACTGGTCCTGTTTTTGTTTTTTGAAAGAGTCTCATGTAGCCTAGGCCAGGCTTGATTGCTATGTAAAGCCAAGGATGAACTTGAACTTCTAATTCTCCTGCCTACGTCTCCCCAATTTTAGGATTACAGGCATGTGCCACTGTGTCTGGTGTGTGTGGTTCTGGGGTTGGAACCCAGGATCTCATGCATGTAAGATGAACCAACAGCCACATCACCAGCCCTGTTACCTTTCTAATATAATAATTTTTTCATTTACTTTTTATGCATGTTTACAATTTATTTTTCACAATGTAAACAAGGTATCTTTATTATATCTACTTCAAATCTCCTCTCCCACTTTCCTGGGGATCACCAACATATTCCATTTCCATTTTTGCCATCTTTTTGGAGGTATTGTTTTATAACCCACCAAGTCTGTTAGTGATGCTGATTGATCTTGCTTTCCTGTTCTTGTGCAGGTGACCACAGCTGTCGTAAGTTCTAGAGTATAATGGCTGTGTTATATCCAGAAGACAGCATTTGTGCAGGTGACCACAGCTGTCGTAAGTTCTGGAGTATAATGACCGTGTTATATCCAGAAGACAGCATTTCACGGGCCCTTGCATCATCCAACTTTTACATACTTTCCCCTCCCCGTTCCTCAGTGTCCCTGAGACTGGGAGGATGTGTGAATGTAGCATGGATATCCCATTTGGGACTGGGCAGTCGACGATCACATTCCTAGAGTCTCTGCATTGACTGTTGAGCACTGAAAAGAGAAGTTTCTTGGCCAAGGCTGAGGGTAAAAGTGATCTGTGCGTACAAGCCTAAATATCCACAAGGCAGTTTTGTCAATATGTCCGTTAGCAAGACAATGTTTAATAGGCTCCCCTTGGGCCTGTGACCTCCTGAGCCATGGCTTTGACCGGGTTTGCAGCGCCAGGCGTGAACTGGCTCCTGGGGAGCAGACCTCAGATCTGGTCTAAAAGGGCTTGGTTGCTCCCACAGCGTTTGCGCACCCTGCCTGGCCAGTTAATGTTGCAGCAGGCAGCATTCACTGTTGGGTTAGTGTTTGGATTTTTTTTCAGACTGGGTATTATTACACTGTGTCCTAGAACTCACTCGGTAGACCACGCTGGCCTCAAACGTAAGGCAATCATCCTGTCTCAGCCTCTTAAGTACTGTGACTACAGACATGATATCTGACCCAAGTTCATCCATTCTTTCTCTCTCCACTCCTCCCTCTTTCCCTGTGTATGATGTGTGCCTGCTTATGAGTGTGCAAATGGCGCAGCGTGAACGTGGAGGTCAGGGGACAATCTTGGGTGTCAGTCCTCGTTTCTATCTTAGGACACGTTCACTTGCGCTTCGTCTGCGAGGCTGATGGTCCTTTAGATCCAGAGGTGGTTCTGCTTCTCTTCCCTGTCACTGTGGCAGAGCTGGGATTACAGATATGCACACCATTGCATCTGGTGTTGTGAAGGTTCTGGGCAGCCAAACTCAGGTTCTCACACTTATATGGTAAACACTTTCCCACAGAACCATCCCAAGTCCCAAAGTTTTTCAAGATCAGAGTCCACATATAAATACATGTAGGCATGCATACCCACTCTCCTCACAAAGAGCAGCATAGTTCACGTAGCTCAGTGACAGTCTTTATCTCTACCCCAGAGTGGCATCAAATCTGTAAATAAAACATGAATGTACTGTGCATACCTCTATCCCAGCACTCAGGAGGCTGTAAATAAAACATAAACACACACTGTGCAAGCCTGTATCTTAGCACTGAGGAGGCCATAAATAAAACATAAACACACATAGTGCATGCCTGTAACTCAGCACTCAGGAAGCAGCGTTGGATCAGAAGCTCTGGCTATTCTTGGCTCATGGTGACTTCAAGGCCAGGCTGGGATACATAAGACACTACCTCAAAGAAGAAAATAAACATCACAAATAAATAAAACTCAAGTTTCTGTTTACTCTCTAAGGTGCACTTGAAGATCATGGTTATGGGACTTGGGACATAGCTCCACAGTAGAGCACTTGCCTAGTACATGCAAAGCCCCGAAATCTACCCTCAGCCCTGAGAAGGGCAGGAAGAGAAGGAGAGGGAGGGAATTGTGGCTTTCAATGAGCTTTATTCTGCTAAGTGAAGTCCACATAGAGAGAAGACCTGGGTAGGCGAGGTTTAAAACAATCCTTCACGAGACAGGGCTGAATGTAGCCATGAGAGGTCTGTCTTCCTAACAACGAGTGCTCACTGGTGCTTCTCTCTTCCTGACCCTGACTGTTTATCCAGTGTGGGTAGGCAAAGTCTGGGAGGGAAAGGGGGTGCCCTGTGGCAGGGATGGAGGTTCCCCCTCAGCTCTGAAAAATGGGCGCAGTCATGACCCACCATGCTCAGGCTGTGTGGTAGGAGGCAGATGTCCCGCTACTAACAAGTGAGAAAGGAGTATAACCAAATGGTTCTGAAATCCCAACGTAGAAACAAACTCAGGAGAAAATTCCCAAGCCCCAGTGGCTTATTTAGGAGAGGAGCCTGTACAGTGGGTAGACTCTTGGGGTGAGCCATCTAGTTGCTCTCAACAGTGAGTTACAAGTAGACCCTGTGTGCCCTCCCTATGGTTTGTGACATCAAG